ATATATATATATATATATATATATATATATATAGGTAATTATTTACAATTTACATTAGTAAATTATGCACATAATTTCTATTTGGTCCCTAGAGCTTTTATTGATACAATTACATCCTCAAAGTTTTAACTGAGTTTCAATCTAGTCTTTCCATAAAAAAAAGGGTATATATTCGGCCGGCAAAAAATACATCTCTTAGATACATTAATATTTCTTCTTTGTCTGACAATGTCTCTCAAATTCTTACTTTGTATCTTCCTTTTTTGGGTTTGTTATCATTTTTTCTCAAAATCATATGAAATAAAAGTTTTCTAGCCTACACATAATAGATTTTTCATCAGACAAATATATCCTTTTACCCAATTCATGTGTTGGTCACGGAAGACCATTCTGTCATGATAAAGTGCTGAATTTTAATGTTAAGGGTTAAAATGAAAACTCTTGGAATTTGATTGTTGTGGTTGGAAGTTGGAACTTCAAGGACCAAATAGGAATTAGGTTCATACTTTAAAGGTGTATGTGTATATATATATATATATATATATATATATATATATATATATATATGTGGTGTGTCCATGCACTTCAAAATTGTTGTCCAATTGAGCAAATCTAAATGAACGTAGTAGATCAACAAAGTTGAAAAAAAAAATTGAAACTCACCTTTTTGCTCAGAGATTAAGCTTCAAGCGCTTGCGCTTAAGCTTTGGTTCGGATAAATCGCCTTGCATTGGACCGCTTGAGGCGAGATAACTTTGCTTGATCTCGTCGGACGCCTTGCGTACTTTTTGATAACACTAATTAGGACAAACCAAGGTTGACTTATATATTTAAGAGGTCTTTCTACTCATTGTCAATTGGTTGAGTTGGATGCTTTAGCAAAGCAAACATAAAAAAATTAACTTTTCTTGGAGATTGTGATTCAGGAGCTAAGAGAGCAAAATGTGTCAAAAATAGAATGCATGTGTATATATATTTTGGAATTCTATACATTTCTAAATGAGAGAGGTGAGATCTTTTAATTTAGCAATTTGTATGATCATATGATGATGACTTCCAAGTTTCTAACACGATACCATTATTCGGTTCTCTTGGCAATGAGTTTCCTTAGATCAATACATATGTATCCGACTCGGTCGATACCGATACGATAACGATATACGATACATCAAGCTCGCGAGTCACACCTGTATCGGTGATAACTCGATCTCGACTTGGACATATCGGCTCAACGCGGAGTCAACTCAGATGATTTACATCGAAATCGGTTCAATACAGTGAAATCTTTCCAAAATCTTAGACAAACAACAAAATTCCAAAGAAAATAGGGAAAAGTGAAGAATGCCAATACCCATTTCCATAAAAGCCCCAATCAGTTGCAAAAATTGAGAGGTGGTGTAGAGAAGCCAAACAAAGAAGGAATGATGGAAAGGAAGTAAAAATTCAAAGACCCAAATATGCAGAATTGCAGATACCAAGACGCTCATGAAAATCTGCAATTTTCCAACCCTAGATGGCAGACATATCTATGAATCAATATAGAGAGCTCCATCTTCTTCTTTGTTCTTCTTCGCTGCGAAGTGAGAACCCATGGCGAACACACATTGAGATGCCCAAACCCCATACTCCTTCCTAGAAATCGCATGGCTTCTATGAACCCACTCACAGATTCTCTCTCTCTTATGGACGATGAGCCTCACATACGCAGAGTCTTGAGACTCTAAGTCTCTGACTGTTGTGGCTGAATTTTTTTTTTAACCTCTCTATTACTAGTTTTAACTTTTAATTAATTTTTTTTTGGGTACACTTTTGCCTAAGCCTACTTTTGATAAATTTATTCTTTGATATATAATGGGATATATTAGTATTTTTTTATTTTGGGACATTTAAAATTAAATAATAAAATTATAATAGATTTATATTTAAATTACTAATTTATGGGCAATGATTATGGTTCGGGAAATTCTTAAATGATTAAAATGAATATAAGAATAAATAAATATTTCAATAGTGCCCTTATATCTTTTTTTGAATTATATTTAATTTATTTGCAGATATATTGTGACATATGATATATGATGCATGAATTATGTTTTTTATATTTTTTAGAATTTTACATGATTTTTTCATAAAAAATTGGGCTTTCTATTTTGCGTTTTAAGCGTATCAGGCGATACCGTGCCGTAACGTCGCGACTAATATGTATGAATGCCCTTCAAGTTCAAAGCCAATACCACAACCTTGAACCATGATAGCCATTGTCTTCTTTGTCTAGCTGATTTTATCCAACCCATACATAAACTGAAATTTGAACTTTGAAACATAAGACCCTTATATTATTTCTTTTCTGGCGCTTGAGATTATTTGTAGTAGTTATTTTCTTTATCGTGATTAGTGATGATTTTTATATGTTTGGAATGACAGCTATTTGGTGGAAGCCCCTCAGGGTAAGTACATCATATGAACATATTTCTTTTTTTTTTTCTTGTTTTTCCCTCAAAATGCATGTGGTTTTGATTGTTAGAAAGCTAATAAGTTTTTTAAATGTTGTTCCATGTGTCCATTAGAGAAATGAGCAAAAATGCATCAAAACATAAGAAGAGAAGAGAGAAACAACGCGAAAAGAAGGCTGCTGAAGCTGCCAATGGTACATAGTTGAGTACATCCTCTCTCCCTCGTCGATGCATGACGAAGCTAAATTCCTAGCCTTCTGTTGTCTCAAGGCTAGGAATTTCCTAGCCGTCTTTAGGGGATTTCTCGTTGATATGAATCTTTTGTCAAGCTTTGGATTCTCTAGAACAGACTGCTGGTGTTTCTGAATTTTTTTTCCAGAAATGGAAATTTTTGAGGTGATAAAAATAATTTGGTGCAGATATAAGCAAGTCAATTGTATGTGTAGCAAGCTGCAAATTTTGTTTTCTTGGGTCTTTTGTTTTTTTTTTTTTTTTGGGGGGGGGGGGGTTTATGAGATGTGTTGTACCGTGGACTCATTTCAATACATTATTCTGAATAGAACATTTTGTACTTCCCTAATTTGTATCAGCCCAATCAAGTTGTATATCTTTTACCATGTTTTGGAGCACGAGGTGAGGTAGCAGCTTCATTGCAATTTAATAACCGTTTAAAACATTCTTTACCGTGATGTGTCCTTTGCGGAGTTGCATT